TTTATAACTATATACTTTCATCAAGTTATCTTAACTATATAAGTAATTTGTTAGTGACTTATTCATTTATTAGTTACATGATGACGCATAGGCTTTGGTTCGTTCATATATATAAGACTCGAGGTACGCCTATATTAGGCAAGTATTATGAGGAGTATGGACCATACATTCGGGGTGCTGGTAGTAAGAGTATGGTATAAGATCCATATAACCTTCTCCCAACAATTCGAGTTATTGGGATCAACTGATTTATGACATGGTATCAGAGCTGGTTTTTCCAAGTGGTCGTTTGTTTGAATCTCCACGACTCTCAATATTAATAGTAAATTAAAGCGCAAGGTATGGTGGGCCGCGTGCAAACTTCAACCTCGTGAGTTGGCTTATGTTTGAGAGGGCGTGTAAGAGTATGGTAGAAGATCCATAATAACCTTCTCCCAACAACTCGAGTTATTGGGATCAGCTGGTTTATGACACTGGTTTGTATACAGTTAATGAGCTTGTCCCGCTACATGGTGATTCTGACTTGATCAATGGTAGTGGAGCACTGACGGTCACAAACCTCTACTTTTCACCTTCTTTATGGCGAGTGTAGTATTACTCTGAGGATGTTGCAGTTCTTGCATGACTATTAGTCGACGAGCAGACTATGATCCTAAATATACCAAACTCATCATAGGATGAGTTATAAATAACCTACTTGGGAACCTTCATTCTACATAGGAACGATTAGATCTTACGAATGGACGTGTGAAGTACTCTTGGCTTATAGATGTGTTCTCCACCTTGCAAGAGGGAGCTTCAGATCAGACACTGAGTCAGCATGCGTGAGCATATGCCATGCTACTTTTAGGAGTAGTTATGTTTCCTTATCAATCTGGAGCTAAGATGCATCTTATGCATGTTCTACTTCTCCATGATTAGGCACGTGTAGGAGGGTATGCAAGGCGGTACTTTTATGTTAGCATACTTGTATCACGAGCTCAGTAGGACTAATAACACTCTATGTATTGTGTTTATCACTCCCATATTTTATACATTTCCCCTTCGATCAATGCAACTTTAGAAGATTTTACTTAATTATCTATGAATATAATAACTATTTGATCAATAAACTTTTATTTGACTTGTGTTGTGTGTTTTGTATCTTTATGCCTTCTTGGTATACTTTCGTGCTTTTGAAGGTAAAACACAATTTTGGATATTTTGGACCAAAGCTTGGATGATTATGGGGGACTAAAGGAGCAGATTTGGAAAGATCAAGGGTATTCTACCCATAAAGACGAAGGAGAAGTCTTATGAAGCCCTACAGGAACCCACTAGAACATAATGAAGCAAGAATCAACGATGAACACCAAATGGGTCCACTCGGCACCAACTGTCGCACCTAGATTGCACCATAAGGTGACTTGGACAACAAGCAACCCAACCCACAACGAAGAGAGGCAGCGCCGAGTACCGCCGTTGGGCTACCGTGATGTGCCCAAGCCCAATAAGTTTCCAATTCGTTCCCAAGTCCGTAGAGACCCCGTCCTGCTCGTACAAGAAACATTTAGGAAGACTTACTTGGGGGGGGGGGGGGGGGCTAAGAAACCCGATTCTATAACTAATTTAAATAGGGAGTCAGGCCTCAGTTGTAGAGCACACTACAAAAATAACAAATCTTCTATAAGCACTCTATCGAGTGGAGAGTGTATTATCAATTAGGGGCGCACTCAAGGAGATGTTGTCATCATCAATGGTGGTACCCTCATTTCTTTCTATGTTTAGTTAGCTAAAATTAATTGTGTACGAATGTGCGCACGTTATAATATGACTATTTTGTTTTATAATTTTGTGTTATGCTATTTTTTGGTTGTCGAGTATTTTGATATTTATGTTGTCATTGATGTTTAGATTTCAATGTTTATGATTATATTGGATGCTACTATATGTGTTGCCTATAATATCATATAAAATGTTATGAAGCTACTTTCTTGTGATGTCCTATTGACCTAGGCGTGTATGAGAGGATTGATTGCTTAGATCGCCAACACTATAGATCTTTTGTTATGGCTCAAGAGGCCCACACTTAACTTAGTGTTATCCTTACTTTTTTGTTTTCAATTAGATAGTTGATGACATAAAGTAAAAACACACATTAGCTATTTATTATTCCTGTTGCATGCGATGAAACATCAATTTAGAATGCTTTCGTAGAAGGGATAGAGTTATTCAATAGTGGAATCATTGAGATGCATGACATGATTGAGAATTGAGATGCATATTATATTCGGGGATCTTATCTACTCAATAACCTATCTTTACTTTTCCACTTTTACTTTTCCTTGCCTATAAAAAATTGAAAAGCAACCCAAACATATCTATTTTATATTGCTTTGTGAGTCAATATATGAGTAGTTAAATGTGAGTAGGTATGGTTAGAAACCCTTGTGGAATACAATCCTATAGATATTTCTTAGATTTTTATCACTTTTTGTTTACCACACATCAAGTTTTTGGTGTCGTTGCAGGAGATTTCTAATCATATATAAAAGCACCTAACTACCTTATGTTTCTTTATTAGTTTTTTCTTTAGTTTGTTTTGCAGATTTTTGTATGAGTTAAATCTTCACGAGAAAACAAGTTTAAAATCAAAAGATAGTCGACGAGATCATCGAGGAAGTAGAAGCAACTAATTCAACCTTCTCGATCTTGAATGAAGTAGCATCTAGATCCGAAGAAGAGACTTTGAGCCCCATCCATCAAGAGTCCAACTAGAGAAGAAATGGAAACTTTGACGAAGCTACAGTTTTGAATCAGGAGAAGAAACTTCTTCCTTATCCTCTTCTACAGACTCCACGATGGTAGAGAATCAAACAGTATCCGAGACCCAAATCCTCAAATATCACATCCAACATTGTTGCGCCACCAACAACCATAAAAATCCGAACTCAGTTGATCTAAATGATGCAACAATAAGGGAGATTCGTTGGAAGGAATGATGATGATCTTGTGCAACATTTGAAGATCTTTCTAGAGATTTTCAGTTCCATTTTAGGAGATGAAGCTAATAGAGATTCAATCTGCTATGAATTTTCCTTTTCTCACTCGTGGGAAGGGCCAAGCAGTGGTTCGATTACTATCCACCATGAACCTTCACCACATGGGAGAATCTAGCTCAAGCATTAATAGAAGAGTTCTTTCCATCATGGAATACAAAAGAGCTTAAAGATGAAATCACATAATTCCAGCAGAGGGAAGGGGAACCATTCTATGAAGCTCGAAGGAGATTCCAAGAGCAATTCAAGGTATGCCGCCATCATGGATTTACACTAGAGTAAGTTGCTAAGTACTTTCCAAAAGTAAAAAAATAGAGATACCACCATGATGGTAAACCAATCTACCAATGGTGACTTAACCACAATGACAGAAGTCCAATGCCAATAGCATTTTGCCACAATAGCAAGAAGTTTTCAGAATTTGTCTAGGCAACCAACGATGAAGCCATTAAAAGTTGTCCAAGAAAGTTGTGAAGCTTCAATGGAACGCAAGAATGAACCAGTGGCTGCTTTGTTTGTATTTGAAACTTGTGGAGAAGAAAGTCATAAAGGAACTGAATATTGGAGCCAAGAAGAACAAGGATATGCTTATGTCAATTATATCAGCCAACACAACCAACCAAGGTCACGACTAGAAATTTATGCTCCTACCGAAGAGTCAACCAACCACGCATACCCTATGGTCAATGCCAGCCGAGGAGAAAATAAGCCCAAAGATGACCGCAATTTCACCTCTACCAATGCACCTTATGTTCATGAAACACAATGGAATAAGAAGCCAAGTCCACTTGGATTTGGAAATCAAACTCAACATAAGGGGCAAGAAGGAAGTTCTTCCCATTAATAACCTACAAGATTCGAGAAGTCTGAGGCAACAATTATTGGTTTACAAGTGAGCTATCAAAGATTCGAATGACAATGTGCACTCTTGGTCGACGCTAAACCTCGGAAGCCTCAGGGACATCTTCCCAACAATGCAAAGAACAATCCAAAAAGGAAGAATTGAAAGTAATCTCAACTAGGAAGCGAGTATCCAAGAGTTTCCCAAGCTCAAACCAGGAAGAGGAGGATAAGGAGAAGATCTTAAAATGTGTAGCTCACTACCCAACCCTCTTCTAGTTTCAATGGAGAATCCGAAGGAAAAACTTGAAATTCTCTTAAAGAGGATGACATGTCTTATAGATTTGCTTCCCTCTCAACTCGTTTTCGGAAACCCCTTCACCTTCAAAAGTTTTTCAAACCCTTGAGGAGTTGAAAACCCCCACGAGACCAACCACACGACCTATGGGACATAATTCCAAAATGACTATTATGTCATTTTAATAATTTTGCACTATGTAAATTGAGTCGGTCTAACTAATTAAAACTCGGCCTAACTAGACTATTTAAAAAATAAGATGAACTCAAGTTTATCTAACCGGCCTCGATTCGACTCATTTGCCGCCCTAAGTAATTAAAAGTAATTACAATTTACAACCTTGGCCAGGTAGTTAGCCCTTAATAATTCGGGTGTTTTCATATCTTGTTGTTGTTGGGACATGGTGAGTAGGGGTGATAGTCGGTGGTCAGTTAATTGGTTAATCAAAAAACCGAACCGAAATAGTTGGTTAGACGGCTAACCGAAAACCGACAACAACCCTTTGGTCTCGGCTTCGGTTGGCATACTTTGGCATATTTGTTAACCGACGGTTTTCGGTTGCTAACCGATAACAACTCGGTGCACCGAAATCTAACATATTATTCTCCCCAAATTATTCCAAGCCTCCCCTCTTTCATTCCCTATAACATCACGACTCTACTTCTGCCTCTAAAGAAACAAAAAGCTTCCCAACCAAATTTATTACAATTATGAACCCTAATTTCCTTAACAATCAAGAACCCAAAAACTCATGTTGTCGTTCGTCTCTAAGATACCTCATCGGAGCCGGAGGAGATGACGGTTGCTTGGATGCGCCGCCACCATCATCGACACTTTGGACTTGAAGTTTGAGTATCTCTTCCATTTTCGGCAGATATAGATCCAGATCTGCCTGAGCCCTCTGCCACCGACGACTCTTTCTCTTCCTCCTCTTCCACCACTGCTGCCATTCCGTTCTTCATTTTCCTCCTCTGTTGTCGGATCAAGAGTCGCCGCCCGCCGCTACCATGTCCTTCTTCGTTTTCCTCCATGTGTTCCTCTTTCTCTTGCTTAATGGCGAGATTCGTGGATCTGTTTCAGGAGGTGGCGGAGGTAGTGGACTGGAGGAAGATAACGCACGCTGGAGCCAAAAATCCGGCCAGATCCAGTACCTCCTCCATGCATGTTCATTGCCGGTGGGTAGAGGATTGACAATTTTCTGGAAACACATGTGAGAGATGCAAAAATAGAGAAAGGGAAAGTCTGAAAGGAGAGAGAACGCACCATTTTTTTTCCTTTTTAAGGGAATTGTTCTGTTACACAATAAACGACGAACCTAGCCGAAACAGGCGGTTTCGGTGTCGGCTAACCGCAGTCTTATTCGGTGTCGGCTTCGGTTAGAGGTTTCAGCCCATTTTTGACATCGGTTAATCGATCAGTCGGTTTGATTAAACCGAAACTGAACCGACTATCACCCGCATTGAGCACTTACAAGCTGATCAAGATAGCGCCAATGAATTCATAGGTGTGAGGTGTCAGCTACTAATAAATGAGAGTTACTATTCGTCGCCCTAAACCATACAACTTTACAAAACAACCCTTCATTTAATTTTATGGTTCAACCACCTAGAATTAATGCTCCAACCATCTAACCCAACCCATTTAACTCTTTCTTCCAACACAAAACAGAAATATCAAACCAAAAATTAAAACCAAACCACACAACACAAAATCCAACTACAATCTTCTACATTGATAAATTTTCGCCGGACTCTGGCGAGTTTGCCGGAGGTAGAGAAGTAGTCGGTCTCGATCGTCATAACATGCAGGGACTCGGACTAAAGGTAAGATTTCGTTTGCAATTTTTTTTCTTCTGGAAAACAAGTCGAGCATGTTGAAAATCTGCCTCGACCGGTGGTCAAGCATGTTGAAACCCTGCGTCAGCCATGGAACGAACGCGTTGTCAACCTGCCCGTTCCATCCTCCAGGAATGCTCGCAACATGCTCGTCCTCCTGTCTCGGCATGTTTTCAACATGCTCGACCCATGGTTCATTCTTGTTTTTAACATGCCCGTCCCTTGGTCTGGTCTAGTTTTGAACATGCTCGAGTTAATTTTGTGATGTCATGGACCTTTTTTAATGAAAATTCACATAAATTATAATATTTATGTTCATTAAGTTTCGTTGTTAATTGTGTTTATTAGGAAGGAGGATAAAAATCTTGTGCCACCATCATTTACTAACAAGGAAACTATTATGGATGATTCGGTAAGTAGTTATTTTTTATAATTTAATTATCGTAACATAATTGTTGCACAAGTAAATGTTTTTACCTTGTATTTCTTGTAGGGTGGATCCGGAGTTAATGAGGGTGACAATGTTGATTGCACATCATTGTTTCTAAGTGATGTTTATGATGCCCATGATCAAGCTTGTAAAGCGGCAAAGGAGATTGCCATGAGTAATAGTTTTTCCTTGATAGTGGCATCAGTCAAGAGAAACGTTGGAGAAGGCAATCCGCGGATCTATATGGATTGCAACCATGGTAGTAGGAGCAACTCATATACGTCTGATCCCGCAAAGACAACACGGAGCAAATCTACAACAGGCAAGTTAGATTGTCGTTTCCGAGTGGTGGTGCAATCCGTAAAAATAGATGGCAATTGTAAGTGGAGAATTCATGGGATTAAGTCGAGGGGATTTCACAGTCACAGATTGGAGGTTTACTCTGAGGGAAGCAGGCAAAAGAATGCTCTTTCGCAGGTGGAAAAAATGAATATTAAGGAGTTGGAGGCAACACATACTCAGGCGAAAGATATCAGAAGTTTGCTCAATATGAAGTACGATGCTCATCACAACATGACTCAGATTTATAATGAGACAGCAAAAATTAGGCGTGAGAGATTGGGTGGGTTGAAACCTATGCGGTGGACATTGATAGAAGCTCAACGTCTTGGCTACTTTATTGAGTGTGAATTTGATGATCAACGTCGTGTTACTAGACTCTTCCTATGCCATCCTGAGTCGATTTGGATGTTGTTGGCATGGTATTTTGTTGTTTTGATAGACTCGACGTACAAGACTAACAAGTATAAGCAGCCACTGGTTCAGTTGATTGGTGTTAGTCTGGTGAAGAAGAACTTCAACATTGGGTTCGCATTGATTTACTGGGGCTCATTGGGTCCGACTAGTTCTCGACAATGTCGATGGGGTGACACCAATGCCATATTTTAGTCCACAATGGACTCATTTTTGGAATATGAGCACAATTCCGCATTGAGATGAGTTATACCAACAGGAGCAGGAATTGTATGCCATCCTTGGAGGACATTATCCACCCACTGACGATGAAGAGAATGATTAAACATTGTTGCCTTAGATTGATTATGTTATTGATGTGTCTAGTGTGTGTTTATGTTTAAAGTTGTGTGGATTTAGGTGCAATTATCAAAGATTGACATTTTGTGTTAAAATGTATGTGGTTTTAGGTGGAATTAATCAATGATTTTGTGTTCAAATTTATGTGGATTTAGTTGAAATTAATAAATTTTGTTCACAATTATTGTTGCTGAAAAAATAGACTAGGCGGGTTGAAAACCTGCCTGCACCACGGACCAAACATTTCACCTACCCATCTTCACCGTGGGTTGAGCATGTTGCACACCCACCTGAAGGATGGTGCAGGAATATACCCTTCCAGCACAGGCCGTGGACAAAGCATGTTGTGAACCCGCCTTCCTAGAGGTGAGGGCATATATCCTACCCGCCCTCCCGGAGGTCGAGCCATATTTTCTACCCTTCTAACCGCTGGTTGAGCCATATTCCCTACCCGCCCGATGGTGCAAGTAATTTTGTGTGATCATTAAAAATTGTTGTTTGTTGTGTTTTTGTTAGATATATAAGTAGTGGTTAAAAATTTTAATTAGTATATAAACACTCAAACATAACACATCCAAATGTACCTTAAGAAATATTCAACATCAATCTTAAGAAATATCCAACATCAAAACATAAAATATCCAACAGCCAAATGTGATGCCTGGTATCGGCTGGGAAACATAGCTATGAGGGGGAGGATCCACTGCAGCTTGACGACGCGAAAGCTTCTCCTGACGCTCCTCCTCACGAAGTCTATCTGACTCCTCTTGACGTTTTTTCCGCTCAGATACTGTAACGTTGCGTCCGAGAACCCTCAATTTTTCCTTGCCCTTTCTTTCGCTCATTGTTGCCTGCTATCAAGAAAATAAAATTATTTATTTTCAGAATTGTAATTGACAACCATACATCTTTTAACTATACATAATAATTATTTACAACCATAAAATTTATGAATTCCAATACAAATTATATTGTCAAATACTAATTATATTAATCATCACAAACCCTCGTACTAATTCTTACCCTTTCTTTCGCTTATTTTACCAACTATCAAGAAAATAAAATTAATTCTTCTTAGTATTGCAATTAAAAATCCTATATTCATTAACTATTTATAATCATTATTAACAATCAACAACTTTTTCAATTCAAACACTACTTATATTGTCAAATGCTAATTAACATCCTCTCATCACACAGCAACCGCAACAAACAGATTCTTTTCTTCCTTCCCATTATAAAATGTCATATATTGATTATAATTTACCATTCAAATTTATATATTATTAATTAAAATGAACATTCTAATCATTAACATTTGCATTTTAATTGAAAAAAATCAAAACGGGTCGGGCGGGTCGGAAAATGGGTCGGACCAGGGTTCGGGCGGGTCGGAAAATGGGTCGGACCAGGGTCAGGACGGGTCGGAAAATGGGTCGAACCAGGGTCAGGGCGGGTCGGAGACCGGATCGGACCAGGGTCGGGGCAGGTGGGCTACCTGGCTCCGCCGGATTCGCGCGGGCGCCCTGCCTGCGTCTACCACCGGCCAAATCGATCGCCCTACCTGCCTCTAGCCACTGGCGACGGGTTTTCAACCCGCGACGTCGGCGCAACTCAACCAAACGAGAAGAGAGGGAGAGAGAGATTTACCTCTGGCGGGTCTGAGCAGAAGCAGAGGGCTAGAGGCGGACGATGATTTGGAGGCTTCTCCTTCCTCCTCGACGACAGTGCGGCGGATCTGGGCTTGGGCGAAGATGCTGGCGGTGACGGGTCTCGGTGGCGGCGACGGGTCTTGGTGGTGGAGGCGAGTCTGGGTGAGGGTGGCGGCGACTTCCTCTCCTTCTGGATGGCGCCGGAGCTCTGGGCGAGGGGTGAGGGTGGCGGCGACTTCGACGGCGACTTCCTCTCCTTCTGGATGGCGCCGGAAAACTGGGTGAGGGGTGAGGGTGGCGGCAGGGTCTGGGTGGCGGCAGGGTGAGTCTTAGGCGAAAATAGGGTAAGGAAAGGGTGGGTTAATTTAGGGTTTAGGTTAAATGAGGGGTAAATTCGTCCATATATATAAGTTTAGGGCTATAAATTCAAAAACTTAGGGCGACAAATAAGAATTCAGCTAATAAAGTAGATTTCAGTCAACGATCCTTCCAGCCGTAGTTATTAACAATTGCTTAAGGAACATAATAATTTGAACTGCTAATCCATCAAAAGAACACGAGGGATCAAGGCCTCCCATTTGCTGTCCGTCTGCGTACTAATTTCTCGAATCCTCCTCCGCGAAGAAGAAGAAGAGAAGAAGAAGAAGAGGACGGTTGAGTTGAGGAATAGCTATGTGGAAGAAGAGTTACTTAGCGATGATGATCGACGGAGGAAGCAGCAGCTTCGGCAGCGAATTAATCGCTTCCGATTTCAAAGAGCTGACTGCGGCGGCAAAGAAGCTCGCCATTCATGTTGGCATCGTCGCTGGTTTCGGAACCTCTTTCCTCGAGTGTCTCTCTGCTATTGCTGCCATGTACGCCTCGCCACGCCCACAATTTACCTTCAATAAATTTAGTTTCCTCTGTTTTTCTTTTGTCCACCACTGAAGTCTGAATATGAATTGAAATTGATTGATGCAGCTATCTGCTCGTATTGGATCGAACGAATTGGAAGACAAACATTCTCACTGGGCTACTCATTCCTTACATCTTCTTCACCCTCCCTTCCTTCCTCTTCAGCTTCATACGGTAAAATTTCAAATCTCCCTCCCTCTATCTCTCTAAGCTTTTGATTGCATGTTGAACTGTGTTTTGATTCCGTCAAATCCCCAAATTCACGCAGAGGCGAGTTTGGGAAATGGGTTGCAATCATGACACTTCTACTCCGCCTTCTCTTCCCCAGCCGATTCCCAGGTAAGGATTGCTGCCGCTGTTTCAGGAATCAAAGATTACATTTTTAGCGCACAGTACTGGAGTGGAGTGGAATGGAAAAAAATTAATTGTTTGGTGGGTAATTGTGAATTTGTGTTTGCTAGATTGGCTTGACATGTCGGGTTCTCTGGTTCTGCTAATTGTGGTGGCGCCTAGTTTCTTCGCTTCAACACTGAGGGACAACTGGATTGGAATGGCGATATGTATGCTCATTGCTTGCTACCTGCTGCAAGAACACATTAGAGCATCTGGTGGGTTCAGAAACTCATTCACCAAGGCCAATGGTATTTCCAACACCGTCGGGATAATCCTCCTCTTCTTTTATCCTGCCTGGGCTTTGTGATGCCTGTATGCCTACAAGCAATTGCCATATTTATCGCGTAGTTTCCATTAATCGATTAGAGTTAGATAAACTCTTAAAATTTCATTAGACCGTTATTACGCGAAGCATAAACCTAAAATTAATAGTTCTTCTTTGTAGCTGATAAGCCCACGAATCAATGAACTCAGCCCAACTGACGTTCAGCTTGTGAGCCCCAGTCCTATTCGCGCTAACGGGATTTCGTGTAGCCCAACCATTGTCCAAGCTGACCGTTGCCAGGATAGGAGTAGTCTTTGGGTTTTGTTTTAGGTTGAAAGGGTATTCCCTACTGATTAGGAGTAGTAGTTGCTGGTTGTTTTGGTTGGAATAAAGTCCCTCCACCTTAAGTGGAGAAAGAGTAGGTAGTAGGCAGTCGTGGAAGCATAGCTCCCACCTTGTTAGGATTTTTAGTTTCAACGATGATGTATTTAAACTAGAAGCAAAGAAATAACAAGAAGCAGAATTTCTGTAAGTAAAACCCCGGTAATTTCTCGCCAAGAAAAGAGAGAACTGGCTCAATCCCGCCAAAAAAAGGGATTCATTCACTCATACGATTTCAACACGTGTCATTTGGTATCAGAGTCGTTGATCCGGATTCCGATCACGATGAGCTCAAAGAGACCATCAAGGGAGGAGGAACACATCAATCAGGCACTCAGACAAATAGAGCGTGTAATGGTTACCTGCCGCATGATGATTGCGTCGTATGACAAACGCATGTCAGCAACACCATCATCGCCATCTGAAGTCGAGACCCTAGCCGCTATGGAAGAGGCGGAGATCTCGTCCTACCCGTAGCAACGCTACAGGTACCTGTTGCAGCTAAAAGCACGTTATCGACGATCATGGCGCCTCCATTGGCTGCCTTGCCGACCTTGTCAGCAAATCCACAACAGCCTCTTGTCGATGCTGCCAAGCATTATACGCTGCCAGAAATCGAGTCCAAGCCACGCTTCCCATCGACGACGAACCCGACCGCTCACATGGGTGATCCTGTTGCCGCCGTTTGTATGGGTAAGTTTGCGATTGTTGCACCAACTTCTGCAAACAAGGACAATTTAAAGGCCATTGCAATCACTACCATCGCTGCCGTTGATCCGCGAGAAGTAAAGTCTTTTGTGGCCCATGCCGCAACGCCTTCACCTGGAAGGAGCCTGACTTCCGCCACATCCACTACATCAACGCCGAACCAGGGAGGTAACTTCCGTGATTCATTGATCGCTGAAGATCAAGGTGGGACACCTCATGGAGAGGTTGATATAATTGCCAAGGTTCATCCAACCAAATTAGTCTGTATAGATCCCGGTGGAAGGGGATTTAAGTCCACAACTCTTTATGAAAGTCTCTTTGTTAGGGATGTTCGTCAATTGTTGATGTGCGATGATGGGGATGGAAAATGCGGGGAAAGAGTTATATGCAAGATAGACTTATTTATAAGGCTTGCGCATAAAAAGCATATCAACTATGAAGCATCAGTAGGATTTTATGGTGTTGATGCTAAATTTCTTTACTGGTGGAAGAGAAGGAAGAAGCTGGACGAGAATCCAATTCCAAAAGGAAAGCTACAGCCCCAGGGGAAGAAAGAAGCAATGGCTTGCGCTCTTGATTGTTGCTACCTTGACAAAGACTTTGGGGACAAGACTTACAAGCGCAAGCGCGATGCCGAAGTTACCGTCACCGCCAACAATGACGACAACGAATCGATGGTGATCGAACCTTCCTTGCCCCCACCGGCAAAGCAGTCGACACTCCCCCTCTATCATCAATCTCAACACACCGACCTTCATAATCACAATCTACGGCGGGGTGATCCCGAGGTGGGTCTCAGGAAGGAGCTGGAAACGTTCAGGAAGCACAGATTGTGGGCAAAGGTTGGGAGTAGGCAAGCGGCGCCGTGTGAGGAGTCGATGAACGAGGTGAAACGGAGTGAACAAGCTGAAGTGGGTGATGAGCGGACCGATTCAGCTATCTGGGTTGACTTATGGATCAAACCAACTGACTGGTACGGATCGCCGATGGAAACATGTCAAGGGAGTTCGCTTCGCGTGGATGATGCTACCTGTAAGTTGTCTTCCATTTTCGATGATCGCTTCATTCAATTCGGCCTTGAGGACAAGGCCGTTTTTCAGGGGTGGTAATGATAAGCCCACGAATCAATGAACTCAGCCCAATCGACGTTCAGCTTGTGAGCCCCAGTCCAATTCGCGCTAACGGGATTTCGTGTAGCCCAACCATTGTCCAAGCTGACCGTTGCCAGGACAGGAGTAGTCTTTGGGTTTTGTTTTAGGTTGAAAGGGTATTCCCTACTGATTAGGAGTAGTAGTTGCTGGTTGTTTTGGTTGGAATAAAGTCCCTCCACCTTAAGTGGAGAAAGAGTAGGCAGTAGGTAGTCGTGGAAGCATAGCTCCCACTTTGTTAGGATTTTTAGTTTCAACGATGATGTATTTAAACTAGAAGCAAAGAAATAACAAGAAGCAGAATTTCAGTAAGTAAAACCCCTGGTAATTTCTCGCCAAGAAAAGAGAGAACTGACTCAATCCCGCCAAAAAAAGGGATTCATTCACTCATACGATTTCAACACGTATCAGTAGCTTAATCTAGAAGTAGACTAGTTATTCATCACTTTGATTGTTGACGTAGCACGATTCGATCATGATGAAACCCACCTTTCCACTTACGCTTACTATGTGAAAAACCGCCATTTAATTGAGATTGAAATGCATGCATTGCTTTTAAATTTGTTTCTCCATGTTTGTTGATGTATCTGATGTAATAAACTAAGAAGGTTCTGCAATTTTTATTGAGCAGACATGGCTTTCTTCTTTGCTTGTAAGCCTAGTCCAGCAGAGTGCTGCAGATTCATTTGTTGTTGTAAAAGAGAAGCAAGCAGTGCTATTCTGTGAATGTGATGCTATATTCTTCCGAGAATCCTCATTTGTGATACAATCATGCAAGCTCAAATTAACAGCAGGCAAGCAATATGTAGTGATATCCATTCATATGTAGTCAATTAAATGTTGGAAGATCAGAATGACAATTGAATTTGTTCATAATTCTCCTGTCATTCTTTATGTGTATATAAACATTGAACAATGAGAGAGCTCTCGCGGTGACCAATGCCTAGGAGCCTTTACACCATAGTAGGAAGTTCAATCAGACATGTTCAGTTTCAACTCAAGCCTTGGACTCCTTTGCTTCGCTGTAAAGTTGATCAATGCGTTCTTTGTAGTATTTCAGCAGCTGAGGCCTCTTGAGCTTAAACGTTGGAGTCACCAGATCTCTCTCTATCCCAAATGGAACTGGCTCCAGGTGAACTCCTTTCAACATCTCAAACCCTTTCAGCTGCAAGAAAGCCATTTCCTTCTTAGTGAATGTAGCCAAAGAAAAAGAAGGGGGAAAAAGCAGAGAGAAGTTAAAGCAGGAAGAAAGAACAGAGAGATATACCTGGTATTTCTTTCCAGTGCTGTTCAGCTCATCCAAGACATAGTTCCTGGCCTTCTGATTCTCGCACAAGGCTTGATAATCGCCCGTAACATTGTGCTGCTTCGCCCACTCCTCGATTGCTTGCTTGTCTGGCACGACAACTGCAACTAGAAACGACTCGAAACTGTTTCCATACACCCAAATCGAAGCAACGAGAGGGCATCGAGAGTAAGTGTTCTCTAGATTCTCCACGGCGACATACTCTCCCTGTGACAGCTTGAAGATGTTCTTCTTCCGGTCAATGATCTTCATGGCTCCATTGGGCTGTAACTCTCCAATGTCACCCGTGTGGAACCAGCCGTCCACGAGGACTTCTCTCGTGAGATCTTCGCGCTTGTGATATCCAGAAAACAAGCTGTTGCCTCTGAGGCAGATCTCGCCACGTGGCACACTGGCGAGGGCATCGTAGCCCATCTCAGGGACTGATTCAAGCCGGGCCTCGATGGTTGTCATAGGAACACCGACGGTTCCCACCATTGGGTATATGTCACCGATCGAGGTGAAGCATCCACCACAGCTTTCAGTAAGACCTGTCAACAACAGGGGTTTAGTTTAGTGAAGATGAAAAAAATATAGAATGATGAAAGAATTGGGAAATTCATGATTGGTTTATGGTTCAGATACCGTAGCCTTGTGATAATGTAGAGCAGGATATGACCCTTAGGAAGTCCTCGACATGGCGAGGCAAAGGTGCAGCTCCAGATAAGAGAATCCGGACTCGGCCTCCAAATGCTAGCTTAGTCTGTTTACAATTCCCTAACACCTTAGATTGAATGGCAGAAATGGACACGGGAAAGTGCAGTAGTTACAGGTTCTAACGAAAGAACAAACCTTTTCAAAGACGAGCTTGTCAAAGAATGGTGCAGCTTTGGCTTGTGCAATTCCCTTCTCAAGGTTTCCCAGCTTGCTGTAAGATGGTTATCCACATTGTTACTTGTGGAACAAGAAAGGCAATAGCAACATGAATTGGAATCTGACTGAGGTGATTGTTAACTTACTAGGAATAAGCAAAATCGAAGAGCTTCTTCCGTAATACCCCTGATGATGAGACCCTGCTCATTGTACCTGGAAGAGAGTAATTTTCCACATTAAGAACCAGAAAGAAGAGGTAGAAAGAATAAGAGAGTTGCTACTTACCGCTGTAAATGCGGTCGTACACTCTAGGAACCCCACAAAGCATGGTTGGCTTCAACTCCTGAAGATCCTCCATCAAGAATCTGACATCCTATGAAGCAAAACCCGAAAATCCGATTGAAACAACAGAAAGGAACAAAAACTCAGTGGGCGAAGGTGAGAATCTAATAGAGTCTGCAGTCTTTTTATTACCCCTTGCCAGAATCCAATGGAGGCACCTTTGTGGATACAGTAGTTCGCGATCACTTGGTCATAGATGTGAGCCAAAGGTAAGAAAGAGAAGTATGTATCTTCTTCATCAAGCTGAAATAATAATAAGAAAAATGGTTTCCCTTCATTTCCTCAATGATAGAAAGGGTTAGTTTTTAAGTACAGGGAACTAACAAGTTTTACCACTCTGTCAGTCTGGGAGAGCAAATGGTCAACAGACAGAACTTCAGCCATGAGAGCTCCATTTGTGATGATAACTCCTTTAGGTTCTCCAGTAGTACCGCTTGTGTACATTATGGTGCAGATGTCAGTCTTCTGTTTCGGAGGTAGCTCGGAATCCAAATTTCCCTGATCACACACTTATTCAAGTTAGTAAGCTGCTGTCATCTTGAGTCGGAAGAAATGATGGAGAAACAGCTCCTGTTTCTTATTTTACCCACCAGCTGAGAGAACTCTTCCCACGAGTAACAAGACATCCCTAGCTCCTCGGCTTCCTTCTTCTGCAGGGCAGAAATGTCCCCAAAGCTGATGATTGCTGCATAAGAAGTGAAGAACAAGTAGGGTTTATCATTCATCTTGAAAGAGCATCCTGAGGTTACAGAAGGGTAAATTATGATTTGGTGAAGCGTTTTTGTAGCATACTTTTCAGGTTTGAACAACAGTTTGAGAGGCAGGACAGAACCTGAAAAGAAAAAAAGGGCAGATAGCTTTAGTAAGGGCTCAAGCAGATATAAAAAGGGCAACAGCAGGCAGGAAGAGATTTACAGCAGGGAGTTTGTTCTCTTGAACAAAGGCCATGGAGACTTCAGCATGGTTAATGATGAACTCCACAGCATTGGCACCTGCAAGTTTTGGGCCAGCATTACAAATTCCGTCACCAAAGGAGCTGAATTTCAAAACTGAATCAATTGGAAAGACAATTAACTTTTTTTTTTTTTACCAAGGGTGTCATAGAGAGGGACATAAGTCACAGCCTGGCTGTTACAAGCCTGGCAAAAGGGTACAATCTGTGGTCAGCAATGAGAGATTGTAATGAATGAGAGAAAGGACAATCTGGGAAAGTTTGGGGCCAAACCTCCATTGCAGTTATCCATTGAGGGGAGTTGGAACCATAGATACCACAACGATCACCCTGTCAACACGAAACAAATTATACCAAGGTAGATCACTTTTCACGTTATTTCTTACAGTATGAATGCCCATCAAATCAAACTGTTGAAAGATGTATGGAAATTAAATGGGATGGTGGTAGCTAGTTGATATGGTGGGAGAGGAGCTTTATGCTTACAGGGTTGACACCAAGGCTTCTCATTGCAGAACCAATTCTCAAAGCTGAATCATAAACTTGGTTGTAAGTGAGCCATGCATATGATCCAGCCTGCGAGCCAGTCGAATTGACACCATGGGTTATGATGAGCAGCAGTTCTTCTAATCCATTAATTTCTGGTTGCTTAAGGATATTGTTGCACATAGCAGGAGATTATTAGCCAGTCAAAAAATAGAAGGATACCTTTGAATCTATGATTTTCCGGCGACCCAACATGGGATTGTTGGCGTACTTAGCCGCTGAATCACTGCATGATCAAATGGAAATATAAACTTTAACCCATGTTATAATAATGATTAAACAAACTTTAGCCGTCAGTTATTTTCAAAGTGGCCCATTAGCTCAGTTGGTTAGAGCGTGGTGCTAATAACGCCAAGGTCGCAGGTTCGAGATCTGCATGGGCCAATTGTGAAGAGCTAATTTTTATTTTATTTTGTCTAGCTAAAATAATTTTGATCAAGCAAAAGCCATTTTGCCAGCACTGAAACTCAAATGCCGTTTCACCTATGAGAACAAAAGAGAGGAAGCTTAATTGAACTGTAATTAAATTACCTGAAGAATTGCCAGGGGGAATGGAGGTGGGAAGGAACTTCCAAGAGGCCATCTTTGGCGTAAATGCTCCTGTAAACAGGCCCTGCACTTGGCTTTCCTTCTCCCCTGCTGCTGCTGCTATCCTCTGCTTCTCCAACTTTCACCAAGTACTCCATCGCCATCCACTAATAACAATGCCTGCTACTAATTTTTCCCCAAAGGAAAGGCAAGGACAATACTTGTGTATGGATTTGGGCACCTGTTTGCTCTCTGAATTTGGTGTTAAATTCTAAGTATCTACTCCGGAAAGGGGAAGAACGGAGAAGAAGAAGAAGAAGAAGAGTGAAGAGAGTAAATAAAGTGGTTGGGGTTGGGCCAACGGTACGGCACAGCAAGCAATAAATTCTGAATATTTAATGCTGCATATTTCTTCTTCTCTTTTTTTATACGTACGTAAAATGAAAAAAAAAAATGATTGATGCAATGCAATGCAATGCTGTTGTGTTTATCTCTTCTTTCTTTTAGACTTTTACCATGAGAGGCAGAGCAGTGGGGAAGAAGAGGTGTAGTAGACTAGAGAGGGAATAATGGGCCAACAGTACACGAAACGAAAGCAAGCAGTTATATCTGTATTGACGGTGGGTTTTATAAATGGCTTTTATTACTCCCATCTCCCAACCTAACCTTCCACATACGGGTGTGTGTCCCACCACCTGCCCTCCATGCATGCATCCTGTTTTACCTTTTTCCTCCCCGAGGTACTCATCTCTGCTCATCATTTAACAACAGATCAAATATTCTAATTTTAATGGTATTACGACGCATTATGTTTGAACGGTATATGATCCACGATTGGACCTCTCCCAACAGTTTGAGTTATTGAGATCAACTGGTTCTTGACATGGTATCAGAGCTTTCTATCACCGTGAATTCTTCTGTTCGATTCCCGGTGTTCGGACCTATGCCTGTCCAAACTCCAAGCCTATCTGAATGACTTGAGTTTGAAGGGGGGTGTTAGTAAACGGTATATGATCCACGATTGAACCTCTCCCAACAGCTCGAGTTATTGAGATCAACTGGTTCATGACATTTGAAACACATATATATCAGTGATCAATCACTATTCACAAGTTGACTGAGGGTACCCTGTTGATTCGATTCATGTATTTTATTAGAGTTTTTGTTATATATGTTGAACATGATGTACGTAGTAGGATCGAAAATGAAAGTTTAATGATGTGAATGGCTGTTACTACGGAACGAGAATTAATTATATAGATTGAAGATAAATGTGGATCGTTTGGATTGGGTAAATTAACAAAAATGCAGATGGCTGGTAACTGGTGAGTAGTTCATAATTTATGGTGTTACCATCAGCGGCTCGCAAATTGCATCAGTTGGTCCGATATCCCAATCTCAGTTGTGATTCACCGCCCAGCTAAGCTTATATTAATTAATTCAGTAAACAGGCACCGCCTACAAGTCATTTGCTGGAAACTGCAGCCGCTGTGTCAAAGACTCAAAGTCAAGATTCCATGTGGGATTTTTCTGCATTGCCTATTCTATTCTTGCGTTGGTCGGTTAATAACAAGAAACCCATGTGGAAATTAAAGAGATGGATATTTAGGTTTGTTTGAAGTTGGCAAGAATATCATCATCATTCTTCCCCCACACTGTTAGCTTTATCCAACTCTCTTGAAAGAGGAAACGTTGAGGAGAAGATTTAATTTTGGAGGTGCAAATGCGGAGAAAAGTAGCTAAGGATCATGTGAAAGAGGATTGTGATGGTGGTTTGGTTTGATTTCAATAGGAGGTTGGGGTTGGGTACGACCAAGTTGAGTGAACTGGAACAGATTAAAATCATTTATTTATCAAAATAAGAGGCTATTATTATCTATTTACGCGACTTCCAAAGTGGAATTGGAAGCTGGAACGAAACATAGATACCTCAAGTAAATTGGTTGACTGGAACAACCAACCTTCACCACCTCAAAATTTGTTGGTCTCATGAGTCATGACAAGAATCGACAGACAAATACATGTGGAAATCTCAGAATACATTGGTTGATATCACTTGCTTGTACTACTAATAGGACCATTCATTTACTAGCAAACTAACTAGTACATGTCATTTCTTGGCGCTCCAACCTGCTTGCCAATTATTGCCAATAATTTTTTCTTTGTTTACCGATTTATAATTATACTATTATTATTATATATGTTAGTACCTAGAATGTTCCGGGTGATTTGTGAGGAAGAAGCCAGAGGATGGTGATGAATCTGGCAGGAATGCTCCAACATCCTGCAATAAAGGTCCTCAGGGGTGCCCTGATACCTCCTTCGAAGGTTAAGTTAGGAAAAGAGGATTGATAAACTCACATAATGAGAGAGAGAATACAACTTACCTTCTATCAGTGTGGAAGAGGAGTATTTATAGGTACTCAGGGCGTCTCGCGCCGTGACTTCAGTTGTCAAGTGCCCACCTTCCTCCAACCAGTTCGTATAATCGTTAGTTATTCCTGTCAGGCGTTCCTATCAGGCGTCTCGTGGCTCATTGCCAGCTGGAGCATTTGGCAACTAACTGATAACACGCCTTGGCCATTCGTCATTCCGGAGGTTGTCGGGCTTTTGTTGGCAAATTGTCATTTTGTTGGGCTTATGGAGACTACTGCTTCCGCCGACATTGTTCAAGAGGCGGAGACTACGATGGAGACTATTCCAACCGTCGTTCTTTCACCACAGGAAAAAGATCTTTTAATCATGGTAAATCTCGTGTTCGAAAGTGTGTTTACCGTGTCTAATAGTTCTAGTCACGGGAAACCTACCGTAATATATACCTTTGTATTTAATTGTAAAGGTCACGGGAAAACTGTAACGTGACTAGTTATAACTAGTCACTGTATAATTTCCCATGATAGTTTGTATCTATTATTTACGGGAAGCCCCGTGACTGATACAAAATCCTTCCACACAAAACCGGAAAAAAAACTTCTTTAAAGACGGGATGTACACCTTTTAACACTTTTTACCGTGACAAAATAGTTTCCCATAATTAGATGTCAATAATTAGTCACTATATTTTTGTTTGATTCTCCCATGTCTAAATACTAACAATTGGTCACGGTATGTTTCATTGGCTTTTATAATAATCAATCGCTAATTAGATTTGTAGCTGCAATGTACAACCATCAATACCGGAGAGAGAGACAAATTTCCCTATTAATTTATTATAATACTAATAGTAACAGAAACAATATTCTACATGATAACATGATCTTGATGTCACTGTAAAATAAATTGATCAATAGACTAACTAAAATAACTAAGAACAAATCACCTAATAGTATGTAAAATCTATACATCAAACTAGTCTAGAGTTTAAGTTCAAAAATTCATTCAATCCCCTGTAGCTTCTACAAGATATTATTGAGTAGTTATTGTCATAATAATCAACTCCCAACTCGTTAAGTCTTCCCGAACCTGAAAATCATAGTGAGAGTAGAGAATTAAAATAGGCCCCTGTATGCCAGTCTCATCAAATATGAATAATTCATAGCCTCCAAGTCTCAAACTCAATAACACCGTGGAAAATGGAAAAATAGACCAGACCGTTAGAAAAATCGTGATCCAAACCGTACTGTACAGTTTGGTCCGGACCATAGACCGTTAAGTATGGTCTGGTCTGGTCCATGGTCTGTATTATTTTATGTTTTGATCTCTTGGTCTGGTCTGGTCTAGACCGCGGTTTACCGGAAAAAACCGTGCCCAACTAACTTGCCAATACGTGTTAAAAACTAGGGGTGGGCAACGATTCGATTCACATCGGACTGAATCGACTCTCACACCGAATCGGATCGAACTGTTTATCTTTCGATTCAACTTTGGTTCCTGAATTTGGGACAAATTTTGGTTTTGGTTCGGTCTAGACCGAAACCGTAAAATCAAGCTAAGGACCGGACCGAATCGTCATTAAATTAATTGCCTATTTTATTAGGCTCTGAGAAGGAAAGTCGACTTGGAGTTGACAACCATAGTACCCTACATGCCACTTAATTACCTATAAATATGATTGACTTTTCCTGACTTTGACTCGCTGCTCCCGCTCCTATAGTCCTACCCTCAAATCAGAGTTCTCATCCGCGTTGCTTCGATCAAGAGAGCTGCTTACTTTACCTATACATTGTGAACCAGGTATTTATATTCTGTTCTCTTTTCTTGTTTAATGTTTCAGATATGGAGAAGATGCGAATAAATGACACCACAGATGCTTCTGCCAAGTCTGGCAACACCACTATAAATTGGCAAGTTTAAGAATCATTTGTTTTATTGCACTAGTTCTTGGAGTAAGTGTCATTTTGTTAAACTCATTTCTAATGAACAGTGGAAATTATGGAGATTGGGAGGTCCAACGTGCACTCTGAAAATGAAAATGAAAGATTAGAGAGGCAATTAGTTAGACTACTTTGAGATTGAATAAACAGACTTTTGTCTTTAGTTAAGTAGTTATCGTTTAGTTTTTTGTATAATATTTTGGAACTTGTGGATTTTAAAAATTGTGGAGTATTTAAATTGGGATAATTTTAATTACTTCTTTTTATGTAGTTACATTTTTTTAATTCATGTGTTGTCCTTTAAGAGTGATTTTATTCGAATGAAAGATTAGTCGGTCCAATGGGATGGTCCAAACCGAATCGAGCCATATATGGTTTGATCAGGACCAACTCGAAGTAATAACGATTTGACTTTGGTCCTTGATTTATAAGAAATTTTGGTTCGGTCTGAGAATAGTTTGGTCCGATCTTGGACTGAATTGACCGATGCCCACCCCTATTAACAACCCATTCCACCACTCTCCCAACTTCCACAAAGACACCCAAGTCTCAACCTTAGTTTTGTGAATCTCGTCCTCCTTCATTCACAACCACATTTAACAAGAGAGTAGAGGTAATCGTGTCTCCATATTACATTATGTTAATGTTTATATATGACGTTATGGTGCAAGTTGGGATGCTTTTATATTATATCTTTGTTATGTACTAAGATTTAGAGTACCAAAATTATTCATGCATGTTAGAATTAATGTTTTAAGGCAAATAACACTTGAATTCTAAAGAACGAATAAGCTTGCCAGCTACAAGCTTGGAAAGAAAATCCAGAATCCACTGGGAATAGCAAACCCTTA